TCGTAAACAGCTCACTGCCAAATTGTAGAACATGGAGGAAGATCTCGTCAAGGTTGGTTTCGAGTTACAGCAGTTTCCCGTAATCAAGGCCGAAATGGAGTCCATGCATAAGGAAGTTCAATGAGGAAGGTAACCCACTAGTCCCTATTCCACTATATGCTTTTATGACAAATCAATGGCACTTGCTGCAACATGAGTTTGCTTGACCGAGGATGATTTCAATAACAATAATTTAAGTATCTTTTATAGCAAAACAAAAAAAAACCAAGTATTTGTGTTTTATGCAAGTGCTTTCAATATCTAAACTAAAAAGTAGGTAGGTAAGAAAAAGATACAAGGATGTAAATTTTTAAGATAATATAGATGCAAAAAGGGATCTTTATTTAATAGAATATGCTGCTATTGTCATTTATCATTTATTTCTTTTGCGATGAACAATCATCATCACATATTTTCGTGTTGTATTCCTTTTCTATAAACATGTTCGTACAAACTTTTTGTGGTTTTATAAGACTATCCCCACTACACTTCTTGATCTTATCTTATCTGTTTGAAATAAGATAATAAGTTTTAAGAAAGACAAAAACAATACGAATGGATTACAAGGGTGGGACCTAGTAGTTAATGAAGTTGTTGAGAACCCTAAGGTCTCATGTTCAAAACAGAGACGACAAAGAGCACTAGGGGATTCTTCTCATTTGTCCTTCCTTTCGTGAACATAGTTACTTGGTACATGCTGATAACGGGAGGGAGATGACAGGTAACCCATGAAATTAATCAAGGTGTACAAAAGCTAGTCTAGGCACCACGATCATTAAAAAAATAAAGATAGAGATAATCATAAGGGATTTTGAAATACACATTAAGTCGGAGCTATTCGTCTTCCCTTTTGTAAGAGTTGAATTGTCTTTGGCTTAGAACACTGTTCTACTTGAAGTTGACCTCGTTATGATAAGCTTATAGTAATATTCTGTCTCATTCTAAAAAAAAAGATAATCATGGATAATTCTTTTGATTTTCATTGATACGAATCACAAACCCTTGACCTATTGAAAATGTAAATCATTTAGTGGGTGTTTGGATTGACTTATTTGTAGTGGCTTTTGAGTTTTAAGCTATTTTTAAGTTTTGGAAGTTTTTAGGTAACTTAATAAGTGCTTTTAAGCACCTTTTAAGGCTGAAAAAGTACCATAAAACCCAATAGTCAAAAGTTGGTTGTCCCCAACTTATGACTTTTAGCTTTGGACTTATAAGTCACTTTAAAAAATCCCATCCAAACAACCTCCTTAATCTACCACTAAGATCAAGGAAGACTTGTAATCGTTCTTTATTTTTAAGAAGATAATATTTCAAGCCAAGTTTTATTAATGGAAACAAGACCTGTGTGTAAGTGGCTTCTTAGTACCAAATAGATTAGCAATAGTAGATGCAAGGTTTACATCAGTGAAACAACATGACATCCTAATAATTATGGTTTATCATGATATAAGAAGCCTAAACCTTGTCTTAGTATATCTCAGGGACATGCGAAGAGATGCTAGAAAAGATATACTGATTTTAGAAAAGAAAAGGAAGAAAACACATGCCTTTGCAATCAATGATGAAATATGGACAATTGAACATCTTTGTTTCCTGTGGAAGTCATAGTTATATCCAAATTGAAATGTAACCTACTCAAACTCAGGAGATATATCAGTTCATCTTCTCCAATATTAGGTAACCCTACTTTAGCTAATATGTGGTTGAAGGTCCTCCACGCTTGTTAATTAATAATCAAAACTTCTTGTTCCCGTTTTAGTATATGAAGGATCACTTTAATTTCTTCAATGTGATGTGTTAACTCAACTTTCGTTTAGATGAGGTTAAAGGTTCATTATGTTTGTTTGATATGCAATCAAATATCTATCCATCTAGGAAGGAGGAGGAGAACCATGAGGTCTCTGGTTCAGATTCGTGTGGTGGCAAAGAACACTAGTTGATTCTTCCGATATGTACCTCTACCTATGATGGTGGGAAGGAGCTGGTACTCTGTGAAATAGTCGATGTTCGTGCAACCTGGCTGTGATATGCGTCAAGCTTAGGGGTAGGGCATGACGCGGGCACGACGAATTTTGGCATGGTTGCACAGTGCGGTGCGATAGCCAAGCAGACCGAGAAGCCAGGGAATTTCAGCACGCAGTATGTAGACATCTCCATCAATGGATAACAAGCTTGTGTCATGGTAGACTTCGGGGCTGAAGCAAACATTATGACCAAGACGACGACAGAGAGGTTAGGGCTAAACATTGTTCAAAGTAACAACTGCCTCAAAATGGTTAACGCCCCACAGACTCCCGTGTGCGGTGTCTCCCAAGGAGTAAGCATCACGTTGGGAAAGTGGCAAGGTAAAACAAACTTTACCGTCGCTCCTTTACACATATTTGATATCATCCTCTAGCAAGAGTTCTTTCAGCGTTGCCACACTATGATCGACCCCTACCTCCAACAACTCATGGTCATGGAGCGGGAAGGGTAATGCATGGTACCTCTAGTTTAGGTGCCAAAGAAAGAAGGACATGTCCACTTATCGGCCATGCAGATTGTGAAGGGCCTTAAGAAAGGAGAACCGACGTTCTTAGCCACCATTGCAAGTTCAGAAGAAGACCATAGTGCTATGGAGTCCTTGCCACCTACCATAGAGACTGTCCTTGAAGAGAACAAAGACGTGATGCCGGACAAGCTGTTGAAGACTCTACCTCCAAGGCGAGAGGTAGATCACAAGATAAAGTTGGAGGTCCGAGCCAAGCCATCTGCACATGCACCTTACCGAATGGCTGAACCCGAGTTAGAGCTCCTTGAGGCCGGTCACATCCATCCATCCAAGGCACCTTATGGCGCACTAGTGCTGTTCCAAAAGAAGAAAGACGGATCGTTACGCTTATGCATCAACTTCTGGGCGCTCAATAAGGTCACGATCAAGAACAAATATTCGATCCCGCTGATTGCAAATTTATTTGATCGTCTTGGACAGGCCAAGTACTTCAACAAGATGGATCTCCGGAAAGGCTACTATTAGGTGCGCATCGCAGAGGGAGATGAGCCAAAAACAGCGTGCGTGACTAGAGACGGAGCATATGAGTGGTTGGTAATGCCTTTCGGGTTAACCAACGCACCCGCCACCTTTTGCACGCTAATGAATAAGATTCTTCATCCTTACTTGGACCAGTTCGTGGGGGTGTACTTGGATGACATAGTCGTCATAGTAACACCTTGGAGGAGCACGTGGAGCACTTGACGAAAGTCTTCAAAATCTTACGAAAGAACCAGCTCTACTTCAAGCGGGAAAAGTGCGAGTTCGCTCAACCCAAGGTGCACTTCTTAGACCATATTATCAGCCAAGTCAAACTCCATTTGGACGAGGCGAAGATTAGGGTGATCCAAGAGTGGGAGGCGCCCACGATGGTGACCGAGCTGCGACCATTCCTTGGACTTACAAACAACTATCACAGGTTCATTAGTGGTTACTCCGCTAAAGAAACCTCACTGACCGAGCTATTGAAGAAGAATAAGTTGTGGGTGTGGAGCAAAGAGTGACAAGGAGTATTCGAATGTCTCAAGGCTGCGGTGACAGAAGAACAAGCCTTGATGATGCCCGACTTCTCAAAGACCTTCGAAATTCATATGGATGCCTCAGTTTTTGCCATTGGGGGAGTCTTAATGCAGTAAAGACACCCAATAGCGTTCGAAAGGTGCAAAGTGAATGAAGCTTAATGATGGTATACGATGCAAGAAAAAGATATGATGACCATCATACATTGTCTACGTAAATGGAGACATTACCTATTAGGTTCCAAATTTGTGGTGAAGACCGACAATGTTGCCACTAACAACTTTCAGTGTCAGAAGAATATCACCCTAAAGCAAGCTAGATGACAAGATTTTCTAGCGGAATTCGACTATGTCTTGGAATACAAACCGGGAAGAGACAATGTTTTGGCCAACACATTAAGCACGAAGGATACAAGTGACAGTCTTTACAAGGCTGAAAAAGTGGGCAGATTTACTTTTCTGCTTTATTTCCACTTGGCAAAACTGCTGCACAGATTTTGTCCTCTGCATTGAGGGGTGTTTTTGGCTGGAAATGGTTGTCATTAAATTTTTATCCTTGCCTACAAGAAAACCCCAACAGTTGGGCAGGAGTTTAGCACAATCACTTGACCCTCCGAGCCTTGAAAGGATGCTGCCGCGTTAACAAACGGGCTGGAATCGTGGAATTTTAATGTAAGGCCTTGCGGGGCGGTACACGCTCCCCCACCTGATTTGACGACGACCCCGACGCTACAAAACTGAAAATAATTGTGGACCTTGTCGCGAAACTGCCACAAGTCCTCATACTTTTCCAACGTTGCCTCCTCCGGTGCCGTCCCTTTCCAATGAACTAGGAACTGCGAGCTTGAGTTGTTCCATCCCTTTCCACGAACAAGTTGATGATCAATTATGCCCTCAATCTGCTTGTCCACGGTTGGCGGTGTGATTAAAAGTTCTTGCTCTCCCAAACTGCCCCCTCTCTTTCTCTTCTATATCTTCAAAATACGGTTTTAAATTGGGTCGCATGGAAGACGGGGTGAATCTTCAAATGATAGGGCATATCTACTCGATATTATATCTTGACAGCCTTGGCAATGATCTCAAGAGGCCCCTCATACTTGCGAATCAAACTTTGACTCACACTCCGCAATGACTTGAACTGCCTTGGATTGAGTTTAACCATAACTCGATCCTCAATTCGATAATCAAACGGACGCCGCTTTCGATCAGAAAAACTTTCGATCAGAAAACTTCTTCATTTTCCGGGCTGCCTTATCAAGATACGACCGTGCAAGGTCGACTTGCTCCTCCCAGGCTTTCGCCATATGATAGGCACTCGGACTCTTCTAACCGGCATTGAAGGGAAAAGATTGGGGCATATTCGGCTGCTGCCCCGTTGCTAACTCAAAAGGATTTCTCCCCGTCGCCTCGCTCTACTGCAAATTGTAAGAGAATTGGGCAGTGTCCAGCAGCTTGGCTAAATCCTTTTGGTTGGCACTTACATATTGCCGCAAATAGCACTCAGAGAGCGCATTGATCCGCTCGCTCTGCCCATCTGTTTGACGATGGAAACTGGTCAAAAAGTGTAATTCCGACCCCAAGAGACTAAATAGCTCTCTCCATAATGCGCTGGTAAATCTAGGATCTCGATCACTAATGATGTGCTTGGTGATGCCCCAATATATGAGGACGCCGTGCAAGAAGATACGGGCTGCCTCCTTAGCCTTGCAACAAGCCGTCGTGACAGTGAATGTTGCATACTTTGAAAATCGATCCACTACGACCATAATAGTTCCAAACCCTTCCGAGTTCGGCAAGCAAGTAATGAAATCAATCGTGACGCAGTCCCAAGGTTTTTCAGCAATGGGCAGCAGCTCAAGCAGTCCACCCGGCCCCTTGGTCTCGACCTTGTCTTTTTGACAAATTAGACAAGTCCGCACATACGCCTCGATGTCTTCCCTCATCTGAGGCCAACAATAAGAAGCCTCTATCAAGGCTAGAGTTCTCTTCTGCCCAGGATGGCCAATACAAGCAGTGTCGTGCCCCTCTTTGATCAACGTACGCCGAAGGTTAGCCCACTTCGGAACGTACACATTCTTGACCGTAGTATAGATCAGACCGTCCTCTTCCCATAATTTGTTCGTCTTGCCTTGATGGGCCAAGGAAAAGACTTGTTTCGCTACGATAGAGCTGCATGCCCTCTTTTATTAGAGCTGCAACTCAAGCTCACGATTGCAGCCAAGGCAGCCTTGCGACAAAGAGCGTCGACAACAACATTAGCCTTCCCTGGCTTGTACTTGAATGTGAAATTGAATTCTACCAAGAAATCCTGCCAACGGGCTTGTTTAGCAGTCAGCTTCTTTTGAGATCGAAAAGAGGTTGTCGCGACTTTTTCTGTCTTGACGACAAAGTGAGCATCCACACGCAATGACGCCAAGTTCTTAGGCAATGAACTACGGTCGTCATCTCCTTTTCATGAACAGAGTACCGCCTCATTCAACTTTCTGCTTTCAAATGCTATCAGGTGGCCCTCTGGCATTAGGACGCAACACATAGCAATGTTTGACGCATCAGTGTGAACTTCAAATGCCCTAGTTAAATCATGCAAGGCCAAAACAGGTTCTTCCATTACAACAACCTTAAGTCTCTCGAAGGCAGCTTGACAAGCATCAGACCATTCCCACTCACGGTTCTTCTTCAGCAAATCAGTGAGTGGGGTTTCAATAGGTGAGTAGCTGAAAATAAAGCGACGATAATAATTGGCAAGGCCAAGGAAGGACCTCTATTCGCGTACCTTCGTTGGAGCCTCCCAATTCTTAATAGATTCCACCTTGTCGCCGTCCATCCTTATCTCGCCATGGCTGATTGTGTGTCCCAGAAATTGGACAGTAGGTTGAGCGAAACTGCATTTTTCCCGCTTCACCCACAAGTCATTGTCGCACAAAACCTTGAACACTTCGCACAAGTGCTCCACGTGATGCTCCATGCTGTTGCTATAGACAACGATATCGTCTAAATAAATAACCACAAATTGATCCAAGTATTGGTGGAACAGCTTGTTCATCAACATACAGAACGTCGCCGGTGCATTCGTCAAGCCAAAGGGCATGACCAGACACTCCAAGGAATAATAGCACGTCACACAAGTCGTCTTGGGTTCATCACCTTCGGCAATCTGAACTTGGTAATAACTCTTCTTCAAATCCATCTTTGTGAACACTTTGCCTGCCCCAATCGATCAAACAAATCAGTAATCAAGGGAATGGGATATTTTTCTTCACCGTGACCTTGTTGATGGCCCAATAATAGATATATAATCGCATCTTCCTATCCTTCTTCTTTTGGAACAGAACAGGCGCACCAAACGGTACCTTAGACTGACTAATGTGTCCCGAATCAAGCAACTCCTTTAGTTTCTTCCTCAATTCTTCCAGTTCCGCGGGCGCCATATGATAAGGCGTCATGGCAGGCGGTTTTGTCCCGGGAACTAACTCAATCTAATGATCAACTTCCCTTCGGGGTGGCAGTCGTTGGGGAAGTTCTTCCCGCATCACGTCCCTATTGTCGCTAAGGACCTGCTCAATGCAATGAGGCAATGTAACTGCCTTGGAACAACATTCGACGCCTCCAACAAGGGTAGCAAGAAAGGTTTGTTCACCTCTCTTGAAACCCTTAACAATCTGCATCGCCGATAAGTGCATCCCGTTTTGTGGTACCTGAATAAGAGGTACCACGATGAACCTCCGGTGTCGCAGATGTGCAGCTGGTTGTGACGCGGTGAAATAAAAGCGTTAACCTCATACCAAAAGTCAAGCCCCAAAATTACATCAAACTCGTCCATAGGTGAAATGGTGAAGTTGGTCAGCCCCGTTCAATCTCCTAAATCGATGGGGACTTTACGAGCAAAGCCATGGACGGAAGTGGTTGTGGCATTGACTATCTTCAACATGGTGTTGCTGGCAACATAATTCAGGCCAAGCTCCTTGGCCTTCTGTTCCGTCACAGAGTTATGCGTTGCACCGTGTCCACCATGATTCGCACGTCTTTGCCATTCAACTTGGCATCGACAAACAGTGATTCACGCGGCCTAATAATAGCTGGTTGAGCAGCTAAAGCAGTTATTGAAATATGATTAAACAAGGTTATATGGTTGAACATACAAACATCAACGTTCTTTCCCTTGTCGGTCTCGCTATTCTACCCCCGTTGCTCCCCGGCAAAACCTCCGGTTTGCGTTGCAGCCTTCTTTTGCTGCTTTTCGGCAGCCACCATAGAACTTAATTTTCTCAAGGATTGACAATGACGAGCAACATGTGTTGTCTCCTCACAAATATAACAACCTTCACGATGAGGAGCGCCTTTCTTGCAGTCCTCATAACTTTTGTAGAAATTAGAAGGTTGATCATGGGTTTTACCTCTCGTGTCGCTATCTCGGTTGGGAGTTGGTCTGCCTTTGTTCCTGTTGTTGTCAACCTTAGGAGGAATAGTTTTGCTCCGATTATCCCTCCCCTTTGCTGCATCTGCCTGGAAATCGATGAGCGATTCTGCCACTACTATCACCTCGTCCACGTCGTGAACTTGACATCTTTGAAGCTTTTTTTCGGCCCAGTTCTGGAGTCCATCCATGAAGTAAAACAGCAAGTCTTCACTGGTCAAGCTCAAAATTTGGAGTGTCAATTTCGTGAACTCTTCCACATAATCCTGAACAAAGGAAGTTTGTTTCAACTCCCTCAACATCCGACGGGCCTCATGGACAACATTTTGTGGGTAGAATTGATGTTTGAGTTCTACCTTGAACAGCTCTCAGCCATCAATACAACAAACCCCCTTCTCCATGTCCTCCTTCTTCCTTCGCTACCACAACATTGCCGTATAAGTTAGATACATGGTTGTTGTTCTGATTTTGGCATCCTCATTTTGCATGTTTACGTGCTCAAAGTAAGCATCCATCTGCCACAAGAAATTTTCCACATCTTGAGCACTACTTTCCCCACGAATTTCCTTGGGTTTGGGAGCCTCAATGCGTGTCTCATGCATAGTAACGAGAGAAGCAAGCCCCATCTCTGCAGCCTCATCAACCTGCCGTTTTAGTGAGTCATTCTCTCTTTGAAGGGAAGAGATGGCCTCGTTGAGCTTGAGTTCGAGGTTGGACAAACCCTCTTTGTAAATTTCCTCAAGCTCAACAAGGTTGTTCTTCGCCTCATCCAGCCCTATTGATACCACTTGTCACGAGGTTAGATTTTCACCTCATGGGACAGTATATGAAGGCTTGGACATCTCCTCAAAACTTAGCCCAACAGCCAACCAAATACACAAGGAAACAACAAGCAAGACAGTCAACCAAACAAGTCCACAAAACAGTAACGAAAGCTATCCAAGGAAGACAAAGTTCTTTGGGAGGCAAGAGTCAATTTTACAATATTTTCTCCAACTATCTTTTCACAAGATGAGTTACAAGATATGCTGCCTAAAACAATATACCAAGGGATTATAAGTAAGTTAAAACGTTTGGGGAACAAATTTCAAAAGAATGTATACAAGTGGCAGTCTTTACAAGGTTGAAAAAGTGGCATATTTGCTTTTCTGTTTTATTGCCACTTGGCAAAACTGCTGCACAGATTTTGTCCTCAGCATTCCGGGGTGTTCTTGGCTGGACATTGTGGGCATTAAATGTTCATCCTTGCCTACAAGAAAACCCCAACGGTTGGGCTGGAGTTTAGCACAATCTCTTGACCCTCCGAGCCTCGAAAAGATGCTTCTGCGTTAATGAAGGGGCTGGAATCGTCGGATTTTAATGTAAGGCCTTGCGGGGCAGTACACGCTCCCCCACCTGATTTGACGACGACCCCGATGCCACACAACTGCAAATAATTGTGGACCTTATCGCGAAACTGCCACAAGTCCTCATACTTTTCCCACGTTGCCTCCTCCGGTGCGTCCCTTTCCAATGAACTAGGAACTGCGAGCTTGAGTTGTTCCTGCCCTTTCCACGAACAAGTTGATGATCAATTATGGCCTCAATCTGCTTGTCCACGGTTGGTGGTGTGATTAAAAATTCTTGCTCTCCCGTACTGCCCGCTCTCTTTGTCTTCCATATCTTCAAAATACGTTTTCAATTGGATCGCATGGAAGATGGGGTGAATCTTCAAATGATGGGGCATATCTACTCGATATGAAATGTTGTCAGCCTTGGCAATGATCTCAAAAGGACCCTCATACTTGCGAATCAAACTTTGACTCACACTCCGCAATGACTTGAACTGCCTTGGATTGAGTTTCACCATAACTCGATCCCCAATTCGGTAATCAACCGGACGCCGCTTTTAATCAGAAAACTTCTTCATTTTTCGGGCTGCCTTATCAAGATACGACCGTGAAAGGTCGACTTGCTCATTCAAGGCTTTCGCCATATGATAGGCACCCGGACTCTTCAAACTGGCATCGACGGCCAAAGATTGGGGCCTATTCGGCTGCTGCCCCTTTGCTAACTCAAAAGGATTTCTCCCCGTCACCTCGCTCCACTGCAAATTGTAAGAGAATTGGGCAGTGTCCAGTAGCTTGGCCAAATCCTTTTGGTTGGCACTTACATAGAGCCGCAAATAGCACTCCAAGAGCGAATTGATCCGCTCGGTCTGCCCATCTGTTTGAGGATGGAAACCGGTCAAAAGGTGTAATTTTGACCCCAAGAGACTGAGTAGCTCTCTCATAAATGCACTGGTCAATCGAGGATATCGATCACTAATGATGTGCTTGGTGATGCCCCAATACTTGAGGACGTCGCGCAAGAAGATACGGACTGCCTCCTTAGCCTTGCAACTAGCCCTCGTGGCAGTGAACGTTGTATACTTTGAGAAGAGATCCACTACGACCATAATAGTTCGAAACCCTTCCGAGTTCGGCAAGCAAGTAATGAAATCCATCGTGACGCAGTCCCAACGTTTTTTAGCAATGGGCAACGGCTCAAGCATTCCACCGGCACCTTCGTCTCGACCTTGTCTTGTTGATAAATTAGACAAGTCCACACATACGCCTCGATGTCGTCCCTCATCCGAGGCCAATAATAAAAAGCATCTATCAAGGCTAAAGTTCTCTTCTGCCCAGGATGACCAGCCCAAGCAGTGTCGTGCCCCTCTTTGATCAATGTACGCCGAAGGTTAGCCCACTTCGGAATGTACACATGCCTGCCCGTAGAATAGAGCAGACCATCCTCTTCCCAAAATTTCTTCGTCTTGCCTTGTTGGGCCAAGGCGAAGACCTGTTTTGCTACGTGATCATGTTGCATGCTCTCTTTATCTCCTCAACTATAGAGCTACAACTCGAGTTCACGATTGCAACCAAGGCAGCCTTGTGACTAAGCGCATCGGCAACAACATTAGCCTTCCCCGGCTTGTACTCGAATGTGAAATTGAATTCTTCCAAGAAATCCTGCCAACGGGCTTGTTTAGCAGTCAGCTTCTTTTGAGATTGAAAATAGGTCATCGCCATGTTGTCCGTCTTGACGACAAAGTGAGCACCCAACACGTAATGACGCCAAGTTCTTAGGCAATGAACTACGGCCTCATCTCCTTTTCATGAGCAGAGTACCGCCTCTCCGCCTCATGATCTCCGAAAGATACAACACAACAGTGTTGATCTTGTTTTCATCACTTCTCACACGACTACACTTGAATTAGTTGTCCAAGTGCCATAGGAAGTTCTCCACCTCGTGGGCATCACGGACGCCTTTGAATAAAGGTTGCTTGGGAGCCTCGACTCTGGCCTACCATTCCTGGTCAAGTGATGTGAATCCTCCAACCTTTATACCTTCATTGAGCGCTTTTACCTCGGCCTTCAGCGTCTCGATCGTGCCAAGCGCTTCCAAGAACCGATACTCCAAGGAAGTAATGGCCTCCTTCATTTCGAACTCAGCCCGTTGTCGTCCCTCCAACTCCTTTCAGATGTTCTCATTCTCCTCAAGGGTGAAGTTCTCAAAGGTTTTGAATTTGTTGTCAATCGCATTCACGCGCCGGCCTAAGATCGCAACGTCTTGTCTTGCCACTTCTACCCTTGCAACCCATTCTTCTCCGGCAGTGACGTCTATGGCATCCTCGCCTATTTTTCGTCACTTCCATTGAATATCGAGGGTGGGTGAGATGTTAGCGCCTCGCTTGGTGTCAGCTCGGGAAGCATTTCCTTGTTACCTTTCTGATGCTTCTTCCCCTTTCTGTTCTTTTTTCCTCCATCCATGCGGACGTTGGTGGTGCTGGCGCCGTTTACGTCTCCTTCATTAGCCATTCTTTTATAATCAACTTGCTTTGATACCACTTTGTCACAGACATAGAATATTTGCTAAGATTTTGTGCGGCACTCGACAATTTACTCACGCTTCTTTCCTGATCTTGTAGGCTCAATTAAGCCTTTAAAACTCGGAACGCTAAGAGAATGCAAAGAAAGACTTAGAAAGAATTTG